GATGACTGCGGTGCTAGGCATGACCAGRGCTGGGGACAACTCTCGATGACAGATGGCCGTGCGCTGTAACTGAGCACAACGCCACTCCCCACCAAAAGTGCGAGCCGAGGTCAAAGATACAGCGAGGACGTCCACATTAGTGGTCTAGCAATTGCAGCAACTGCTGCCCTTTCGCCACTTTGGCCAGCATACCCAGCGGCCATAGACGAGTCCAGATTCTGTTGCTGGCCTCCCGTCACCTCCGTCGATAGAATGAGCCAATTTCCAATGAATCTTGCGCTGAACCGTGGCCAGGTTCATTAGTACCTCGCTGCCCTCCGACTCTAGGCGCAGCTCTTAGTACTTACCTTGGCCTGATCACTGAACTATAGGCCATTCTAACATCACCATCGCGTTCGCAGCGCCCAAACCCCCCCAATTAGTACTTTAGTTTGCCCGATTTGGTCAAGAAACGACCGAGGAACAACAATTTCCACCTCGCTTTCCTCTTTCACTACCTTTCTCGACTCCCTCCGCGCACCTCATTCTCCTACTAACCCTCACCCCACTAGTCTTACGGCAAAACTGATGTTTCCATCAGATTCGCCCGAGGTTAAAAGCTTAGGGTTGCATCTCTCCCCCCTCGATTCCGCTGAGGATTGAGAGAGTTAAGCCTTCTAGGCTGCGCCCGGCTCCTCTTTCTTTTCTCCCACCATCTCTATCTGCACCCGGTGCTGTTTTCTGTCCGGATTCGTTCCCCTCTGTTCTGCTTCTTCCCCTCGTAGCCTACGCCCTCACTCCTGCGCCCGCTTTGCCTTTGCTCCCAGCACCCTCGTGCTTTCTCTCTCTCTCTCTCTCTCTCTCTTTCTCTCTCTCTCTCTCTGCCTTGGCGCTCGTTGCTGTTCAGCGCTGCACTGCGATGCCTGGCCCGCTTCAGCTTTCTGGCATACTGCAGACCTTCCTTCACAAGAGGCTGAGACAGCGCTCCCGCAATGGCTTCCACAKGAATCACCAAGTGGCGGGGCGCTGSTCCTTGATTTATACTTCAGATTCTCGTTGGTCTGCCCCTTTGCCAATGACCCTTGGTGCCCACGGCCGGTCCCGGAGTCGGCACCGGTTGTGCCCCAAAASGAACAAAGGTGAAAAAAAAATAAAAATAAAATAAAATAATAACAATAATAATAAAAATTAGAAACTCGGAATTTCTAAAAGCGAAAAAAGGAAAAATAGTTGAGGGAAGGGTGACTGCCGGCACTCTGCCCTTAGCCCTGCCTCGCGGGCCCGTTGCCGGACTCCTCGGCAAAACCAAGGGGGACAATCCCGCGGGACCCTCAGCCCCTCGATTGTCCTGCGCTCCTTTGCTCCTCCAATGCTGGCTGCTAGCCTCGATCCCGGGATCCGCCTGGTAGAAGTCGGCCACCGTAACCTATAGGGCTAAGCCCCAACTTGGAAATAGTAGGAGCAAACCTGCATATCAATAGTACCTGCGGGTTTCCCAGGCCTGCAGGGGCATGTTACGGCCGCAGCTGGCCTGCTCTTTCAGGCCCATGGCTTTGTAGAGCCACGCTCGGTCGCCTCAAAGCAACCTTTGGCGCGTCTTGCAACACATGCCACCTTCGAGTACCTTTAACCGCAACGAGCGGCCTTCATAGCCCCGCCATGGCCGGCCTCTTATCGCCGTTTCACCGGAAAAGGCCCCGGTCTTCAACCTTACGGGGTCCAGTCCGCACCCGCTCTCCAACCTTTGGCTCCCGGTAATACACAGTCGATTTTATGCTGTCGCCACCCGCACCATGCGACCCCAAGGGCGCCGCCTTTTATCAGATCGGCGAAGCCCCTCCCCTTTTTTACCATAGCCCTACCGACTATACTTGTGCCGCGGTAACTCTACCAAGGCCGTGGTCCTGCGACTTGCGTAATCCGGCCCAAACTTCGAAGTCAGTCGGCGGCCAACTACTCACGCATGCCCGCAAAGTGCCTGCTCACACACTCTCTAATTGGCCCACACTTACACCTGCCGCTTCCGACTTCCAAGTCGATCGCGGCAGGACAATTATGTGCCACCTTCACAGGTCCTGGCCCAGTCGCCTCTCTTGCGAGGTGCAAAAATGCGCGTGTCAGATCAAAAGCTATAAACAATTCAATTCACATCGTGCTGACAAGGAGTTGACCAATCCGATTAGCCGGTTTGACTCCGTTTGAGGCATTCTATCAAACTACCCCCGTCACGGTGTTCCACTGCCAGGGTTTCAACCTGGGTCTCCCTGTCCTGGCCTAGGACGCAGGGGATACTTGTTCCATACTACAGCGTAATGTCCGCTCCCAGGTAGTAGCTTCGATAGTCCTCTCCCTTCGCCTTAGACATCTGCCGGTTCACCGTTGGGTGTCCTGTTTAGTCATCGTCCTGCAAGCAGGGTCATAACTTAGGACTCGGGCCCTAACCGAGACCTCTTCAAGACACGGGGCACCTTTAGTCCCCAAAAATGGTAGTTACTACCATCTCAAAAAATCCACAAAGAACGCCCAACCTGGAGCCTAGCACAGGCGGCTTCTAGGTCCTCATCCTGGCCCACCACAGTCTGGTTGATCGGGCCAGATCTGCGGCCCACCGCGTTGTTATATAGCGGTAGTGCCCTCGTTGGTTGCGCAACGATAAGCAGTTTTCTCTCTCCCGGCACCCCGAAGGGTTCCGACTCTTGACCTCATCGACCCCAATGACCTTCCCTCCAACTAAGCCTCTCCAGGCGGCCGACCTCTTAAGTCTTAACCTTTGGTGAGCCATGGTGCCGCTGTCAGGTTGCGTCGATCAGCGACCCTCGCTGGGAGTTAGTTCCTACAGTTCCAGCGATGCTAAGTATAGCCCATTAGCCTGGCCTCACATAATGTGTCCCTTGGACTGACTGCTTGTGGTTTGGCCTTCTTTGTCATACACAAAAATATTCAAAGGACCACATACCACCGCCCACGGGACTATGTGAAGGGATAGTACCTTTCTCAAAATTCCACAAAAATAAATAAGTAAATAAATAAATAATAATAATAATAATAAAAATTTCACAAGGTCATGCCTTTCTTGCTTTGATCAGAGCAGACAAGGTCACACGTCTTGTAGGGGAACCTTACCAAAATCTTCATCACACTTACCAGAATTCATCCATAATTCTCACGAAAAACTCTGGTCTTTCCTTGTGAGACTTTGCATGCATACAAAATTTTCATCATCGTCATCATTATAGCATATCCTCAGAGTGCTCTCTCATAATTTCATTTATGCACAGGAAAAACTCAACCGGCCATTGAGTTCCCTTTCCCTCTTTCAGACCACACAAAATGACACAACCTCAGTTGTGACCTTCCATTCATACCATTATTCAATTTCAACACACAGTCTTCTCACATATGATGCGCACTTTCCTTCAGCTGTACTTCAGTATTTTGCCTGTAACAATGACAGGTATACTCAAGTATAGAGAAGCGATAGTGTAGATGCATCTAACATAAGTGGCATTCCACAACATTCACACATACATGGGCAAGTCCACAACTGAATGTGAGCGTGATGTATCACACAAACTCCATAAAGCTTGTATCTCATATATACGCAAGAAAAATGGGTTTTTTGCAATAAGCAGAACCCCTGTCACGCTCAAAGACTCAAGGTATAAAAGGCGTTCAGAAAGCTCAGTATAGTCAGGTGTTAGGTCTCACTGTCACCTCGTACCGCACACTCAAGACTCTCACAAGTCTCACACACTCTGCTCTAGAAAGAAAGAGTAAACACARCTCACACAAAAGATACACAATGTACACTGTATCAACGAAAACGAAAGTAGCCTGCTCACACTCAAGGCTATCTAGCGTACAATTAGTCCTGAAGGTCTATAATGTAATAGTAGTCATCTCAGTACAGACTCTGTCTACTGATATACATGGGTGTCATCCAATCCTCCATGTGTCCATCTATAGACAATCCTCTATCAACAGAGAGTCAAAGATGTCTTACATATACCCAAGTTAGACCTTTCCGGACCCTATTAACTGAATCCTACTCCTGATCACTCATGTCCGTCTGCAGCTGCCTATACAACTGCGCTCTCACCCCATCACGAGCCCTAGGGACTCGGACTCCATTTCTATCCCTCCATACTCCTGGGGAGTCCTTAGTAACCAAACCATCGGCCTCGTTCTTGAGACTCTTGAGATAATCATTGGCCCGATGTTTACCCCTCGTGCAGTAGAAGCATTTGCCAATCTTCTTCTGCGTCCCTCTCTCCTCTTCCTGCGAGGGCGCTGATGAAGGGACTGCCGTGACCTCGCTAGTGACCTCCTGCTGAGGTATCTCTGCTGGAATAGGGCAGGCGGCTCCGTCTCCCTCCTGCATGGCTGGACCACCCACACGTGTCTCTGACCCAGACCCAGTGGCCCATGAGCCCAAAGCCTCCTCCAATCCAACCACCAAAGGCATGCCTGGAGGTGTAGTGGACTCCTGGCAGATCTCCTGGCCTACTCCCTGCGCAGTCTCTTCCTCAACTCCCTGGACCATCTGCCCCTCGGCCACCACCTGGATAGTAGGCAATACTCCCTCATTTCTCTGAACCAGCTGTCCCTCGATAACCTCCTGGGCGATAGGCAGCATGCTCTCATCCCTCACTGTCTTCGCCTGCTGTGCTCCGCYAAGTCCCTCACAKGCYTGTTGGTGCGCCACAATARAAGGTATTGGYCAATCAGACTCTTCGCCKCTTGSCCCCTCCTCAGTGTGCACTGTTTCAGGCTGCAACATCTCCTTGTCCCACAAGGGTATGTCTTCTCCTTCCTGAAGGTCAGCTTTTTCTTCTGCCTTCTGACTTCTGAAGGCTTCTTCTGCAGGTGGCCTCTTCATCTCAAACCCTTGGACTTCAGTCCAATCCACCAAGGTCGTGGGTGCTCTCTGCTCAAGCTTTGTTTCCAACTCCTTGATCCTCTTTTCCCACTCTCTCTCCTTTGTCTAGAAGAAAATCTGTTGAGCCTGTTGGTATGCCCTCTGAGCCTCGTTAACTTTGTTGCGGGTCTAGTTCACCTGCCTGATCGTCTCATTGCCTGCCCAGGTCTTCTCTAGCTCCATCTTCAGCGCATTCAATTCGCGCTCTTGCCTCTCCTGGTTCGCCTTCAGCTCCCTAATCTCCTGTTCCCATTCCACCCTCTGACCATAGGCCTTTTGTGCCACCTTGGTCAACCTTTCTCCAACCCTCTGATCTGACGCCCGAGCTGCTGCAAATCCTTCCTTCATCGTCCCTCTCAGGGTGAGAAAGTCTGCGTAGACCAACTTCACCCCCATCTCCTGTTGTGGCCCCTCAAGTCCTCTTGCAGCCCCTTCATCGTCCCTCTCAGGGTGAGCAAGTCTGCGTAGACCAACTTCACCCCCATCTCCTGTTGTGGCTCCTCAAGTCCTCTTGCAGCCCCCATCAACCTGTCGAAGTTCGCCCACGCCTCAGAGAGTAGGGGAGGGTCGTCCTCTAGTTCGTTGCCGGTACTCTTTCCCTTCTTGTCCTTCACAACCACTGGCCGCTCTTCTTGTTCCATCCTCTTGTACAGTTCCTCGAGGTTCTTCCTCCTGATCTCTGCGCCAATCTCTCGGTCTCTGGCGGCCCTTTCTTGTCTCTCCAATTCCTTTTCTCTGGCAGCCTGATCCTCATCCACCTCTTGCCTTGGCGACCCACGTCCCTCTGGCCCTGCCTCTGCCATGGGCTGATCCCCCTGCCTCTGAACTGGCTGGGGAGGAGCCTCTGGCACCTCTGACCATCTCCTCCTTTGTGCCCTCTCAGATGGCTGTTCCTCCTTCCTCTCTGCCTTGTGGGAAGCGTGCTCTCTCCTCTTCTCACCCTCCTGAGACCTGGACGGTGCACCCCTCTCAAAGGTCCTCTTGCCCTCAGCCTCAGGCTCCTTCCTTTTCTTCTCCATGCTCTTCCTCTCCTCTGCCTCGCGTGCTGCAGTATAGTGACTCCTCAATAACCGCTTGCAGTCTCCCCAGTGTAATGCTCTTTCCACCACACTCCTGACGAACAGCCTGATATACCTCCTCACAAACTGGAAACCCCCCCTCACTCTCGACTTAGGCTCAACGTTCTGCTCGTCTGCAAATCTGTCGTACGCCCACAGGAACTCCTCCAGGTTCGTCCCATCGAACCGGATCGGCACTCCATCTCTTCCCACAGGTGATGGATGTATCCCTTCCATCTTCCTCTCAAACTCTGTCCAGGTTGCTGACTCTCGCACATACTTGGCAATGGGCTCAGCCCACTCGCCCTCTCCTCGCACTTCCCTCAGCATCTTGGCTCCATCCCACCTGAACTCATTGGCATGCTTCTCAAACTCCACCAGGAAYAGCTCAACGTTCCYTCCYCTGAAGATGGGCGGCCTGTCTTCTCTCCKGGTCCAACCATGTACTCTCTGTCTGGCGGCCTCCTGAGGGGGTTCCACTGGCCCCGCCCCTCCCTTCCCTCTTGGCATGGCTTCGCCAAAGTGGTGTCAAGCCTGCACAACAAGGAAGAGACAAGCAAAAGCACACAGAGCGTAAGCAGGTTCGACACACAGTGAGAGATAAACAGATCCCTCCCCATCTAACCTAGACATACACATACATATACACACGCACCTATCCTATCATACAAACCCTAACATCATGACCTATCATACCATTCTAATGAATGACCATACAACCTATATCGATACTAATACCCCCATCAGAATGACATGCTTAACCAGAATGAGGGACTCTAACTTGCGAGGTCCAGGCTCACCTCATCTCGAGCGACAAACTTCTTCAACCTTGAGCAAGACACCCAGTCCCTCCAAGCGGTCCCATTCAGCTCTTCAATCTGGTATGCGCCATACTCTCTTACTCTTGCGACCTTGTAGGGTCCCAACCACCGCTTGTCCAACTTTCGTGACCACTGCTTCTCCAGGGATGAATCATATAACAGCACAGTGTCACCGACCTTGAGAGGTTCCTTCCTTACCCTGAGCATCTGATCCCACCTGTACTTGTCCTGAGCCCGATTACCAGCCAGCCTATTTGCCACGCCCTCAATATGGTCTTCTATGATGCCAATCTGACGTGCCCTTAAGTCCAGCAAACGTCAACTCCGTTTCGAGGTCCTGCCGCCTCCAAGTTTTTAGGAAGCTTTCAATAGGGAATGTCGCATGTCTCCCATACCATAATGTGGCTGGAGCGTAACCGGTGCTCCTCCTGACTGTGATGTTGTCCACGAAGAACGCGACCCTCAGAAAATCTGGCCACTGATTCGGCCTCCCACTAGTCCACTTTGCGAGAAGGTTCGAGATGGTACTATGTCCTCTTTCCACCGGCGCATTTGCTTGGGGATGCTCTGCAGTAGTGTATTCAACAATCACCCCATATCTTAGTAGAAGCGCCTTTACCTCTGCACAGGTGAATTCGGACCCCCTATCCATGACAAATCTGGAGACGAAGGGATATCAGAGGTAATACTCTTCGATGCAGCGCGCCAACGTCTCACCAGTCTTAGTACGAATGACCCTTCCATCCACGAACCCTGAGAAGTTATCGCGCGCATCGAAAATAAAGTTGAATCCTCCTATCCCCTGCGACATCGCTAGTAGGTCCAGGTGTATGACTGCTCCGACCTCGCGTACGTATCTTGGGGGAAGCGGTTCCCTAGGTCTGAGGGAAGATCGCTCCTGACATGGCACACATGATTTACAATAGTCGTCAATCATCTTGCCCATGCCATCCCAAAAGTACAATTCTGCTACCTTGAGGTACGTCGTGTCCGTACTCCTGTGCCCACCTGCTGTGCCATCATGCAGGACAACTATGACATCAATCTGACGAGCGATGCCACAGACCACCCTCCTTGGAAATCTCCCCTTCCTCTTCATAAACAGGTGACCATCTCTCACCACAAAGTTTGGCCGCATCTTCAGGACTTTTTCATTTGCATCCCTTTCCCTCATTTCACATGAAAGAAGCATTCCGAGCTCTAGGTAGACCCATCGTACTCTTCTGCTCGAAAGGCCTCTTTGATTTCGCCTTCCTCAAAATCCTCTTTTTCTCTCTCATGTACCTCGCTCTCACTCCTCTCCTAATTTTGCCCAGCATTTCTGGCTGCTTCCTCTTGCAGTAAGGCATTGGCCAGTAGGTAGACTCCTCCTACCGATCTCTCATGTTTTTCCACTTGCTGGACCCCATTCTCCACAGTGATCAGGTCCTCCCCCAGTTGATGCTTATCCGCCAAGGCCAATTCCATCATCCATTCCACATCTGGCTTTCCCCATGAGTCTTCTTCCACATAGGGTTTTAGGACTAACCCTGACAATCGCACATATCCTGGAGGTGTCAGCCACGCAGGCCGTCCAGGAGTAATGTAGTTCCCTACTGCCAGCGACCAGGAGTTGATGAAGTCTCACATCCTCCTCTTTGTCCAAGAACCCGTCGACTGGGGGAGTATCCTCAATCACTCCTCCACTGCTCTTGTCCCAGCCGACTCGACTCAGCCCATCTGCCTGGTTCTTGTTTCCTGGAATTCGCTTAAACTCAAAATCAAACATCCAGACGTACGCCGGCTATCGGACAATGGTTAGATCTGAGGGAGCATAATTCTTCATCGAACCTGCTAGAGCAGTTGGATCCACCCTTAATACAAACATGCTGCCAAAGAGGTAGTTTCTAAAGATCCTAATGCAGTGGAGGACTGCTAAGGTCTCGCGCTTGAACTATGAGTAGTTTCGTTCAGCGGTGTTAAGCGTTCGACTCTCGAATCTTAGCGGCCGCTCCTCTCCATTGAGGTCGTTCTGAATCAAAAACCCTCCTAAGGCAGTCGGTCCTGCGTCCGTTTCTACGATAAACGGCCTGGTCATTACAACAGCATGGTGTGGTATCCCCAGTACCAATCCTCCTTCCTCAAACTCCTTCTTTAGGTCCCTTATCACCACCTCCTGCGTTTCTCCCCACTCCCAATCTTGGCCTTGACGCACAAGCTTTTGCAGGTGTTCTGTCTTCGCCGCAAACTTCTAATAAATATTCTCCAAAACCCGCATGTGCCGAGGAAGCTTCTCACTTCTGTAATCGTCTCGAACGGGGTTGGCCATGCGAGAATCTTGTTCGTCTTCTTAGTATCTGGCCGACGACCCCTCTCGTCGCACACAAATCCTAAGATAGTGACACCACTCATGCAATGCTTGGATTTTGGCCCACTCGCGGTGAGGTTATGCTCCTTTAACAAGTCCAGGACTTGACATAAGTCTTGCACATGATCCCTGACAAACTGTCTGATTCCCGGCATGACCTCCCGCTCATCCTTCTTCTTCGACCCTTTCACGGCCAAATCATCAATGTAAGGCTGAGTGATGTGAGGGCTTACTGGCTGCATCGCCCTCACCATGTGCCTCTGGATCATGGCGACCGCATTCGTCCACCCCTGTGGTGTGACGTTAATGTGGATCAACCCTCGAGGGGTATGCATCGCCGTCATTGGCCTGTCAGATGGGTATACAGGAAACTGGTCATAACCAAAATATAGATCTATCAGAGATATAATGGCCCTCCCTGCGCATGCCTCTGAAAGCGCATCTGCGTTAGGGAGACCATTTGCGTATCTAACAGTCACAGCATTTAGGCGCTGCAAGTCCTGTACCCACCTCAACGTCCCATTTGGCTTAATAAAGCAAAACCAGGGAGATGCATACGGCCCGCTCGAGTAGTCTGATACATGTGTGCGGATCTTCCCATCTAGGTAGTTGACTACCTTTTCCTCATCAGGTGGATTAGCATATCGTGCACCCCGCAAATTCCACGGCTCATGCGGCACGGTGTGTATCCTAATCATGGGGATTTTATCCACGTCCAGACGTCCTCTCTCGTCATCATTGAAGGCATATGCAGTGTGCCTTCCTCTTATGGTGTCCACCATAAGCTTGTCTTCCTGCGCTGTAAGGAAGCCAAACTCCCCTATAATCAGCGCCTTCTTGGTCTCCAGGTTGATACGACATGACATACTCTATAGCATTCTCCCGCATCTGTCGTATCAATTCTCTCTCCCGCTCGTAGTATACTTCCTTTTCCTCGGCTACGAGCACTGGAACAGGGCGGCACTTTTGATCTACCTTTTTGTACCGCCTTTGAGATCCCTGCTTGAGCCTACCTCTAAAAAAGGCCTAGTTGCGACCTGAGGTTGGGTCCCCACCGCTCCGCTGGTCCCTCCTGGCGCTCGATACACCAGTTTCATCTCCCCGACTCCCATTTGCTCTACCACCTTTTCTCTCAAGGCCTCCACGGTCGTAGGATCCGCCATCCTGTAGGTCGCTACTATGTCCATAGTGTCGCCTATACTTGCCAAGCTAAGGGTCATTGCTTCTCGCGGTCTCTCTCCTTCGCTCTCGACTTCCCTTAACCTTCTTCTCTCTTCTTCTGACTCCTCAATCGTGCAGGAGCCAGGACTGGGTCGATTCCGGATGCTTCGTGGCCCTGTGTTCGGGCACGTGACAACTTCATAGTTGTCGCACACCGGGTCACACACGACCAAGAACATAGTCCCTTTATGCTTATTCAGTATGACGGCTTCTGTTCTGCTTAAAAATGATCGACCCAGTAAAATTGGGTGATCGAGATCGGGCATTACAAAGAAACAGCTCCTCACCTTCACCTTCCCGATCTCCAGTACTACTTTGGACGCGGTCCCCACAAAGATGGACCGACTATTCGCTCCCACCAAGATGCCATTGTCGGAGCGGTCCATCTCCATTCCCAGGCGCAATGCATCTTCCTCCTTAATAAGGTTCATTTCTGCGCCTGTATCTATCATGGCCGTGCACGACTTTCCCTTCATAACAACGTCAAAACACCTGCACGCCATGGACTTCCAGTCCATTTTTGTGCCGGTTTCCGCCCACTCAGCCTCCTTACGGATTATGGCCCCTAAGAGTACACTCGCCACCATTTTCCTGCTTAGACGAGCCTTGAGCTCATCTCTAAGTCTTGGTGCTGATGCCAAGACGTCCTTCAGGTTCATGAGGTGATTATGACCTTCTAGAATTCGGTTCTCCTCCACGTCAAACCCTTCTTCCACCTTGACCGTATACTTCTTCTTCTTTGGTTCGGTGACCTTCTCTGTGTCAGTCCTGACGCCCCTCTTCTTAGCTCTTTGCTCCACCTTTTCGTCCTCTTCGTTCCTTAGGCGGTCGTCTTCCTCATCCTCATTCCCAGGGAGTTCCACAACTTCCTTCTCTCCGCTTGGTCCGGGAGCGTCCTTGGCAGGTTGCTCTGACCCCACTGGTCCCTTGGCTCTCGTTCTGACTGCCTGGGCTGCCCTCCCAGATCGTGATGGCGGCCTAAAGCTTATCCCTGATCTGGGAGTCCCTCCTGTGACAGACACATTCGGTATATTCGCGGGCGCCCCCTGCGATCCTGACCCATACAGAAAGACTTGTGGCCTTTGCCCTTGCCACGCCTTAACTTCCTCGCATAACTCTACCAGCTTTCCCTGGTATCGCCGGACCTTGYMCAACAARTCCTCCATATTMTCCATCGTTCTYCGGGCCTCACTCCACCATCCTCCTTCYACTGYCRGACTTTCCTCATCGTCTGAGTCTATTATGATAGGCTCCTCCTTGATAATCCCAGCTTTCYTGACTTGCTCCACCTCCTCATTCTCCCCAATCTCTTCTACCCTCACGTCCGGCTCGGCCTCCTTCTCTTGCCAAATCCTAAACATGGCTAGCGGAGCTTGTGGTGGACCGGCCGCGGCCCTTCGTAGGGCCTCTTTCCTTATGCCCCCTGGGGTCTTAGGGTCGATGTAGTACCCATACTTATCATACATGTCGCCATYGTAATTGGTACTAATCAACCCTTYGTCTTCATCATTTCTCCGGAYGTGGYAGAATTTGATAGTGTGGCCCTTCTGGCCACAATGCCAACAAATGGCATTCCTCCAGTCTATTCTACCTCTGCCAGGGCCTCTTCCACCTTCTTGACCACCCTGACTTCCGGATGCAGTCCAGTCCCCATTTCCTCCGCCTGTAGAGTTTCCACCACCGTTCCCTCTGTCGTTTCCTCCCCGGCCACCATTTCCTCGCCCTCGGCCCCATCCTTGGTTATGTCCTCGTCCACCGCCTTAATTGCCTTGCGACCCTTGTGGGGCGGACTGCTGGGGTTGGGTTGGCGGTGGGGCTGGATGGCTTACTTGTTGTGCTTGGGGTCCTGGGCAGCCACAGGAAGCCGCGCTCATTGACGGTCCGACACATGATCCATGTGGCCCACTCATGGGCCACGGGGCGTATGAACAGTGTCYATGCCAATGACTCGGAGGYCCACAACCTRRCCAYGRCCCATAGGGTGCTGGTGCAGCTTGATGGGACGACTCAKGAGGGGGCATTGCCAYAGCCTGCGGGACMTGTCCCCTCCCCRAGCCTTGGCCCCCTTGAGCCAAGTTCCTTGCTTTCCTSTGAGCCTYAGTCAGCTTCTGAGGCTCRGGCTCCTCTTCCTCTTCCTCTTYTTCTTCTTCYTGCACTACTGCCTTTTTCGCTTTCCCTACGGTCTGTGGCGCTGCCATGGTTTTCCTTTTTGCCTCCTTCTCTGCGTCGAGCTGGGCCACYGCRTCCTCTATCATTTTCTTGAAATCACGTCCATCACTYRTGGTGGCATCCAAARCCTTCCTTTTCTTCCTAGCYTSCCTCATCTSGAAGATGTCTACCTGGTCCAGTTCTCCGTCCATTACGCCTTCCTTTATGGRAGCCCAAGTGAGYTTCTTTCCTGGCGCCGCCTTCTTAGTTAGCGACGAGCCCTCCCAGTTTTTGAAGTGCCCTAGGAAAGTGGCACACTGCTCCTCTTCTGCCAACCCTGGGACTTTCT